TGTGTTTTTCAAATGGCAGCCAAGTCCAGTCAGGACGAGTCTGCTCTGATGTGATCCAACTCATTCAGACAGCACACAGCCAAGTATCAACCACTGTAGATCTTTTCAACTTTGACCCTCTTACAATTACACTTTAAAGGCATCTTCAGTTCTAAATGATCTCAGTTCATCCAGCTGAGTTTATTTTGTATAAAAAGCACAAGGTTGTCAGTATTTGTTTTGTCACAATAATTGCGTTGTGGGAAATGAATTAGCAATCTTACTTATAGACCACTATTTATTTTTCTGCTGATTTGCATGATTGAGTTCAACAAAATCAATAAAAACTTTCCATCATGTACAGTTTTTCTCTCTCACAAAAACAGAAGTTATATCATTTATAAATATATAATTTAGAGATATATAATATATAATTTGAAAAATCTTGTCTTTAATATACTTGCGAAAATAACAAAAGCAGTCAAATGTCAAAAGTTTCGTTTTAATGATAAGACGTCTTCAAAATGGATCATTTAACTTACAACTTTGCAAAGGAGTGGAGAAATATGTTCAAATACTCCATTTAATATCAAACAACTTTCCATAAACACATTTGTCAAAAAATCTATAATTTTCTGTCACCCTTTGAATGTACAGTTGTAAAACACCCACAGATGTAGCAGAAAACATCTGGGTCATGTTTGCATTTTCTTCTGTCACTGGTAATAATTCATTATTTTATGCATAATTAGGCATAAAATAATGTCATTAGAAATAATTCACATGTCGAAATCGGCTGAGCATTGAACAAATAGTTGTAAACTGGCTCAGAGGAAGACAGGAATCATGTCTTTGTGGCAGTCTTCTGGTGATCAAAGGACAATACAAGACTTCCTCACCTTATGAATAAATGTTGAAAGCTAAAATGCTACAAAATGCACATATTTTGTGAGAAACCGATGTGCTAGAGAGAGAGAGACAAAAAAAAATTCAAAACAGAATCCCAAAATTAGTAAGAAAAAAAGTATTGGATTTTATTCAGCAAACATGGAAAATAATTTAGTTTCCTGGCTAAAGACTAGGCTAAACAAAGCAAAAGACTAAACAAAAGGCTAGAGCAGGGGTATATATATATATATATATAAAAAAACATATATACATATATAATAAAGCTTTTTTTTTTTTTTTTTTTCCTCGCTCTCTAATATCTTGATATCTTGCATTTTATGCCAAAATGCATTTTATTTTTCCCAAAATTCTGTGTTTTCCATTTGATTTGTTATGGATTCCGTGTTTTATGATTCAGTACAAATTTATCATAAAAAATGGTGTCTAGTGAAATTAATTAATAAAACTTATTTAATCAATCTTTTAAAATGTAATCAAATGAAAATCAATTTACAACAAAACATTGCATTTTTATTTTTTTATTTTATTTTATCAGACATGATGCTGAACAACAGAACTGTATAAATTAATAATAATAAAAAATAACTTGCTTGTATGATATTCCCTAAAAATAATAATATTATTATTACTTTGAGAATTGCATTGTAGTATACAGTTAGTAATATATTCAGTCAAATAATTTCAAGTTAAACCGGACTTTTATTTTGACGGTTTGTTGTGAAGGTCTTTCAGTTTTAGCTTTAGTTTCAGCGTGTATTTGACGGTATTTTTTCTCAAATGAAACGGCATAAAGCTGGTGAAGTGACTCAGAGCAGCTCTGAAGATGAAGTGCATGTGTTCATGTCCTCATATATTGAGACGCAGACGTTGAAAACACCGCTTTGAGTTTGTGTATCAGATGAAACTCCTCCACGCATTCACACAGAACATGCAGACTTATTAGTGACATGCACTGACTGGTTGCTGTAACATTTATTTCTGTTGTGATTAATACATATTGAGTAAAAATGTCCAGAGCTTATCATCATTATTAGGGGTGCTCCGATCAGGATTTTTGAGGCCGATCACGATCGCCGATCATAGAAAGCAGTATCTGCCAATACCGATCACCGATACCGATCTTTTTAAAGCCAAAAAGTCACGTGTTGACTGTGAAACACAGTAAACTTTAATAATATGCATTTATGGTGTAATTACTACATTTTCGTGTCAATCCATGTTCATATTTACTGCAAACAATGCACTGTTACTTTAATTCAGCGCTTGCAGCGCAGCAATAGACTCGTGCGGAAACGATCTCTGCACTGCTGCAGACGCACCGCTCCTGAACGCACTGTTGGACTGCAACCGTGTGCAGTGAACGCTTTAATCCGTTAACATGAGCGCGGAAAAAAAACGCACCACGTATGCACTGCAAACGGAGTAATGTGAACCTGGCATTATGTGCGTGCGCTGCGAGTGTGCATGAACGCACGGTCTCCAGGAGAGCGCACGATCGCTGAATGGTTACACACTGGCAAGAATTAAAAAGAAATGCAATTTATCAACTTTAGTGACACTGCCTCGACTGTGCAAGTGACAATTCCTGTGTCAACTGTGCAGCGTGCAGCTTGCTTATAGTGCAGACGCGATGTGTGGTGATTTGAAACCATCTGTGTATTTTGAGAGAGCGAGAAAGTGCGCGCGCGGTGATTCACTCACGCTGTTTGTGAAATTACATCTCACACAAGATTTTCAAATTACTTTATAAGTTATTTAATGAAGAAATATGAAGGTGAGTACCTCACCTTCAGCATTATAATTATTTCACCTGCGCAGGACAGAGACTGAGACGGTGCCGCTGCAGGTTGTGCCAAACCTCTCACGGCAGCGTCATCAGCTTGAGATCGTTTTTTTGAGATCTGCCTTTTTAGAGACCGCCGATCGATCATCCCAGCGTGATTATCGGCCGATAGTGATTGGTAGCCGATCAATCGGAGCACCCCTAATCATTATTAACATATATTTTATCATAATCTCGATATGATATCATTTATCGCCCGACTCTAATTTAGGCTATTTGTAGAACGTGCTTGGTGGGTGACTCAGAGACTCCATGCGGGCTACCAGGTGCCCACGGGTACCACGTTGGTGACCACTGGGCTAGAGGTTAGTCAACAGTCTCTTCCTCACAGCACAAAGCAAAGAACGTCAGTTAATTACTTTGCTATCACTTATCTCTCTCCACTTCTCTCAGAAAAAAGATAGGATCTCATTCCTGTCAGCTCCTGGGGGCAAGAGGTGACAAGCAATCAGCGTCCGGCACTACCTTCATCCAGGCAGCCATCAGATCTGTTCAGTCAGACTGTGGACAGACACATCATTAGGCCAGCAGAAAGGTTATTTTTAAGAATTTCCTGGGGGGGAACAAGCACTCACGCAACCTCATAACACAGCCCTCCAGAGTGCCGCAGTGTCCGAACAACCATCCGGAATATCACTGAAGCAGGGGACCACTTATGGATTCTCCCACCAACTCCACTTTTGTTTTAATGCTGAAGTCACTGATACACACATTGACACATACAGAGAATTCTTCATATACTTACTGTTTAAGAGAGGTTATCTATCCACATATTTTTATCTTTATTTAATTTTGTGTATTTTCTTTTCAGTTTAGTTTCAATTCGGTGAATAAATAATTTTAGTTTGTTTTTTGAAATAATGACTCATTTTATTTCTAATTCTGTTTAGTTTTTGTTCATCTTGTAGTGCCCTCTCTTGGTGTGTAGCACCTCCAGCTCTGCATATTCTTCCAGAACTGCTACATTTCAGTACAGATTAAGTACAGATTGTTTTGTAAACAAATGTAATGTGGCCTCAGCAAAGAGGCTGTTTACAGATAGGGCAAACCTTTCAGCAAACCAAAAGTTTACAAATGTGAAAAGGGAATTTACATAGAAGTCTTAAAGGCACAGTAGCAATTGCAAGGCCCTTTACACTCTACAGATAATGTACACAGTGTTGCATACCAGAAGAACTGTTTCACCGCTGAGCCTTTTTTTTAAATATTTTTTTTTGCTGAACTCAGAAAATGTTGACACTATAAAACAACTCATAAACATTTTTTATTCCACACAAAGGAATAGGTATACAAACAGCACATTCTACTTACCAAGTCTTACTGAATCTAGACTATTAAACAGTTTATAGCTATACTAGTGAATTAAGAATTAGAATAAGAAAACTGACATTTTAAAAGATGTATTGTTGAAGTCATGTGTGGGGTCTGTGGCTCAGCTGTGTGCATGTAGAGCCCTGCTGCAGAAATGGCCAGGAGCCCGTTTAAGTGTTTCACAGCTTTAATTGTTATCAGGGGTAAACACAGAGACAACTACATGCACACAGCAGGCCTACGTTAAACGACTGTTAAACGACATCAGTCAAACGGCAGGCCTAAAACTAGTCACACCATGTCACTGCAGTTCATCAGCACAAATAAAAACATTGTGCCTGACAGCTGTCAGTCCAATAGTGACGTCTGTGTAAATGCCCATTTCCCCTTGTGGCTGTTTAGACATGAAAGATTTCATAAAAATAGCCAAGTATGAAATTCTCTGACAACAAAAAGGTGACAGACTGATAAACATCATGCTCCAAACATTTCTCTTCTGCTAGCGACTCGTTGCAGTTCATCAGCACAAATAAAAACATTGTGCCTGACAGCTGTCAGTCCAATAGTGACGTCTGTGTAAATGCCCATTTCCCCTTGTGGCTGTTTAGACATGAAAGATTTCATTAAATAGCCAAGTATGAAATTCTCTGACAACAAAAAGGTGACAGACTGATAAACATCATGCTCCCAACATTTCTCTTCTGCTAGCGACTCGTCGTCGACAGATGAGACTTTGGTAATGTGGTTCTCCTGAGTGGCCATTACTTTGATAAACAGTTAAAGCAGCATTAGAGCTTGACATAAGGATCAATGAAAGGTGGGGTGGGTGTATGTGCGTGTTTACAACTATAGGATAACAAATCACTGTTTAAGAAAAACCTTCCACCAAGATGATGACAAGCAAACCCCCCCAAAGCAGTTTGAGGGGGCTGCACATGGTAATGCGCTCTACACTTACCTGTGCTGATTCCTGAGTTGGCAATGACTGTGGCATCACTCCATTGGTCAGCGCTGGACACAGAGTATGAGCGCTGATGCATCCCATCCGGCCGACTGTTAAACGACACCAGACTGATGCCACTCGCCATCTGAGACGCAGAAGAACTACTGGTCACAGAGCCTGCGGGAGAGACGCATGATAATTAATACACCATTAATATGATATACCCAATGCAACACATTTCCTGATTTGTTCTTGTCATCTGTAATGCCATATCGTTTTTGTTTGCATTATGGTGTACATTTAGAGTGTAGTTTTATTTTTGTTTTTTGCAAACTCGAGTTTTTATAATGTTAATAAATATATCTTTACAACATGCACAATGTATTGGCACTATACTGTTTATCAGCCAATATTAGAATTCATATTTTTTAAGCAGTATTGGTCAGTTATTTAATAATGTATGGTCATTTAAAAAATTTTAACATTTAGATTACATTTGTAATCATAATCAAAGTTTATATTAAAAAAATTATGAATAATTCAGTAAGGGGCTAGTTCTGTAATGTCAATGTGTATATTCTGTCAATAAAAGCCTATAATAAATGTGATTATATAAAGTGATTGTGTCTCTTCAGAAGACTTAGTTTAAACAGTTTACTGTAGATTGGATTACTTTTATAATGTCTTTATGAACTTTTTGAAGCTTACAATTGTGGCTACCTGGACTTTCAATGAATGGATGAGAGAATATAAAAAAAATCTCCATTTGTATTCGAAAAATGTTTGGAAATCTTAGCTTCATGTCATTTCAAAATCATAAGTAAATTATAATTTTTTTAATTTCGGGGTGAACTAACCTGTTAAATGTAATATGTAGCAAATCTACAATAAAAAAATATATATATATATATATATATATATATATATATATATATATTATACTGTATATTGTTGTGATGCATGTCATTAATTAGCATTTAAAATAATTACAATTTTAGCACTTTAATTTATTTAGACAAGACAGTATGCAATTTTAATACCATCCCCAACAAGAGAATGATTATCAACTTACTGATATTGACCAAAATTTTTATATCAATGCATCCCTAATTTTTTTTTTACTTCTAGGTGTCGTCTTCGCAATACTTTTTGTTAATGATAATACTAATAAGTGTAACTAGCACTCATGCACAAAACTTCTTGATTTGTTGTCATCGAGAAGCATAAATAGTGACATTAGATTACTCGAAGGTTAATTATCACCACCGTGAGGCATCATTAAACTGCAGAAGAGGTTCATCTGACTCACATGGAAATTAAAGTGGACATCATAGGAAGTCGCATTTAATCGCACTAATAAGATTTCACCACAGCTGAGCAGAAAAGAACGTGGGAGGGATATGATATGACGCGCACATACAGACTCAAACACTAACAACCATAAGGCTTCTGGGCTTACGAACAGAACAAATCTAACTTCAACAATTTAACAGTTTGTCCAATAGCAGTGAACAAAATGTAAATAACACTGATTTGATGATACCACTTGCTCTAGCTACAGTCACACACACACAGAAAATAAAAAAATTAAAATAAAAAAGGGGGTTCAGTAAATACTCTCTGTTTTTTTTAATATGTTGTTATTGTTGCAAAAAGGTGTACCCACAGGCCTCCACTGGACCGTTGCAAACTCGACTGAATGAAATGTCACGACTCAATTTAATCTCCATTGTAGCGGATAAATCAGACGGCAGCACCTTTGGGTAAATGGCAAAAGCTGATCATACTTCAGGAGAGCCCTGATAACCTACATTTTTACATCAGTGGTTGTCTGGAGGAAAATAAACACTATGTATGTATGAGGGCAGATAAGGATCTACGCACACACACACACACACACAGCATAAGAACAGCAGTTTGTGAAGATATACTATAATGGATTTGGTGCATAATTGGAGCTCTCAAAAAAAAAGAGATGTTAAGACCAAAGGAATAAGAGGTGCATGTGATCACGCCGCTGACCCAGCCCTATAGTCAAATACTCGACTCACAAAAGCTTCACTGCCTTACCACTGTGAATTATCTCTCTTTTCTCCTCTACCGCTCCCTCCCTCCTTCCATCATTCTCTCTCTCCCTCTCATTAGTGCTCATTTCGGACTTGACTGACTGGAGAACGAGCGCTGATTGCATTAATATTCATGACAATAATTAGTACATGTATTATGGGTCACTGAATATTCATGCTATTAGTTTGGTCCTCCTGGTGCTGTGTGTGTGTGTGTGTGTGTGTGTGTGTGCATCCAAGAAGGGTCTTTAACACTCCTTGGGGGGCTTAAGGATTGTTGATCCAATGAGTGTTACACGAATAACTAAACAATAACTTAATTGTTTAATTCTCTACTAATGAAGACCGCTTCTTAGGCCTATTATATTGACATTAAGATACTTTTATAATACATGTGTTTCCTTGGAAAGAACTTACTAAAACAATGTAAGGAAATGTTTTGTATTATTTCTAATATGTATTAAGTATTAGAATTAATTACTTTAATTTATACTAAATTAAATATATTGTATTATCCACTTTGTCCAGTGTGTGGTCACAGATATGTTGGAGGCTATTTTCTCAGGCCATAGGCAGGGGAACACCCTGGATGGATGAACAGTATGTATTTTATTACATAAAATAAAAATGAAAATTACACTTCATAATTTATATTATTATGTAATTTTGATATATCACTATATTATATTACATAATTAAAAAAAAACAAAAAACAAAAAAAACAAAGCAAGATCATGTTTCATGGATAGTCAGTATATTTTATTATATTAAATAATTTATATAATTATCAAATTTTTGTTATATTATTTTACATTATTATCCGATTTTGTTTAATACAAAATACATAAAACAAAGCAAAGTAAAGCCAAAAAAAAAAAAAAGACAAGACAAGACAATATCATGTTACCTGGTGTCTGTCCAAGCTGCAGGTTACTCATGTCCTTGGTCAGCCCATTGGTTTTGGGACTGGGGGCCGCACATGTGGAGATGGCCCTGGGGGGCCTCTTCCCTGGAACCTTCACTGTAGTCCGAAGCAGGTCGATCTCCTTCCCATGAACATTCTGCATATAATCCTTTAGTAAAAATGACAAAAGGATTACTACAACAGCATTGGACACTCTGGATGAAAAGTGTCTACTAAATTTATTTTGTCAGCACACAGTTAATTCTGTCCACCCTCTGGAGGTGAAGAAATCAATATTAATGTATTTAATATTCACAGTGAAGTGCAGAAAATCAGCCGTTTAGATCACTACTTCTTCTTCTGAGCTTCTTTTTCCTCTTCTGCGGATCACAGCATGCCATCGCAGCATGTGTTTGGCTTCTGACTCCGTTGTCTGGATTTGCGCGTGGCTTTGCTTGCATTGATGATGAAAGTTACTCAATGCTAATAGGGATGCAATTACCAGCCGCAAGCTGTTGGCCCGCCACTCCTGAAGGGCTCTCCTGTGGCTTGTTAAACCGTGTTGAGAGCTCTTGGCTTTGAATTGCCCTTTTGTTGGCCTCTAGTGAGGGATGGACATGTTATGCTCTTGCAGTACACCGACTATACACAGAGATTCTCAGGTCTTTGTGTTGTTTGATTGGCACTCAGCTGATGTATGGCAGTTCCGGGTGGTACGCTCTCCCTCTCAAAGCCTTGCTCCTGCTCATTAAGGCGAAAGACTCCACGAAGCTGCTCTATTGAAGAACATATGTTATTGCGTTTCAGGTAGGACATACACTCCGGGGACTGGTCCATAAGTAACTCTTGATTTAAAATAAAGGACGAGCAAACCACTTGAGGGATTTAGTTAAGGGAGTTGAGTGCTCAAATGTGAACAGTTGATGAAAGGATCATCATCTGGCCACTTCAGGGGCAGACGTGCATTTAAAATTGATGCTCCACATCGATGAATCTATCAAATCGCACTGTGCTAAATCATAATCACGTAATGTTTAACAAAAAAGTGCAAGTTTAATGAAACGCACAATAGTTAAAAAAAAAAAAGATTACATAAAGTTGTGGCGTGGTTGTAATGGATGTGAACATGGATGAGTTATTTGGGATTTTTTCCCTCATTAATTAGGTTGCATCTATTGCCATCCACTTAATCAGCTGCATTAATGTGATTTCTTTTTCACATAGTTGAGCAATTAAGAGCCCTGATTGAGTTTCATCCTATTAGCCTCCGCAAACATTCTAATTGATGCCTGTGTAGCAGACACCTGCTGATGAGAGGAACCTGTTCACAGCCAAAGGGAGGAGGGGGACCATACATCATGACGCACACTTCCTTTAATTCACCCAGATGAGCTGGCTGGACTAAAATCTGTCAATGTGTCAGGAGGGCATCTAACCGAGCGATGGGTCTGAAAGGGTTCAGATAACAGAAAATCTAAATATAAGAAAAAAAATGTAGTTGACCATATAATTAAGCAAACTTTTAAAAACAGAGGGGGAAAAAGGCACTTCCCATATCTTATCTACCATATCCATTTTTTGTCACAAATTGTGATTTTTTTTCTCATCCCCAAACAATAAATAAAATAACTTTACTTTAAAAAGTTGAAAAATTTAAATTCTTCTGAAAATCTATTTAATCAGCATTTTCAAGCTTCAAAAAGTACATACAAACAGCCAAAACAAGTCTATCATCATTTCTGTCCATTTTTTGTCCATCCGGACCGTTCGATTCATATGGATTATATGAATCGAGTGGTCTGGATGGACAAAAAAATTACAAAAATGATGATAGATTATTAAAAACATCTGCACTACACATGAGGATGAGTAAATGAAAAATCCCTTTAATAAGTAAATCTATAATAAATAATATAATGTATTATATATTATATTATTTATTATATATTATATAATATATAATACAGCAGCAACAGCAATTTAGACATTATCATTTTGGTCTATATCTAATTTATACCAATAAACTAATTTAGGCCTATACTGGCCTGAACTTGACAAAACACAGGCTACAACAGAAATGACCAGATATTTACAGTAAAACTAAAATCAGTGATGACTGGTTATCTATTTACTGGTTATCTATTTTTTATTTAATTGTGAAAACATTTTCAATTTTAAGTCAAAATCTGTAATACACTTAAGAAGTTACCATTTCATTGTTTACTAAAGTTAAGTTTAGTTGTAACACTTGGTATTTTTAATAAGGTATTTACTATTTTTTTGCTTTCATAATGTGAAAAAGAGAACAGACACTGTGGTATGTATATATGTCTGTCTATCTATCTATCTATAATCTATCAAAATGACAGAACATTTACAAAATTCAGTAAATGAACATAAAACTTTAAAGCCATACCCTCACTACAATTTGTTTTGTGTGGTGAATTTTTGGTTGTAGAGAGCATGAGATAAAAAAATAATATAATTCAAAGTTTTTGCATGGACATATTGCAGATTTGTTCATTTAAATCATAAAAAGGCAGTTTTATGATTTAAATGAACAAATCTGCAATATGTCCATGCAAAAACTTTGAATTATATTATTTTTTATCTCATGCTCTCTACAACCAATAATTCAGTTCTTGTTCAGAGTGCAAGGTCTGACTACATGCTATCCATATCGTTTCTTTTTTTTATTTAATTTAATATCTATTTATTCTAGACAGTATCTTTCATATGCATTTGAGATGCCAAACGCACTTTGGAATTGGTTAGCACTAACAATAAGGTCTGATTACACTCCAAAAAAAGATCCAGAGAAGGAAAACAACCAATTGAATTTTTGGTTGTAGAGAGCATGAGATAAAAAAATAATATAATTCAAAGTTTTTGCATGGACATATTGCAGATTTGTTCATTTAAATCATAAAAAGGCAGTTTTATGATTTAAATGAACAAATCTGCAATATGTCCATGCAAAAACTTTGAATTATATTATTTTTTATCTCATGCTCTCTACAACCAATAATTCAGTTCTTGTTCAGAGTGCAAGGTCTGACTACATGCTATCCATATCGTTTCTTTTTTTTATTTAATTTAAAATTAAAATTAATTTTTTATCTATTTATTCTAGACAGTATCTTTCATATGCATTTGAGATGCCAAACGCACTTTGGAATTGGTTAGCACTAACAATAAGGTCTGATTACACTCCAAAAAAAGATCCAGAGAAGGAAAACAACCAATAAAAGATGGCCATTTCCATTGGTGTGTGGGCAAACAGGTCATCCGAGTTGATGATTATGACGAGCCATTACAGCGTTATATTACACATCAACCACGTCAGCCATGTGCAAACAGATGAGTCGATAATTAAGGACAAGACAGTGTCATCAGACACCATGCTTACTGAGGCGGACACAATAATCCGTTAAACGTCAGTGAAAAGAACATAAAAAAAACCTGGATGTTACAGTGACGGGTGAACAAAGAATAATAACAACATTAACAGGGCAGGACCAATAAGATGAGGAGAAAGACAAATACAATACAGGTGTACTGGCGGTGTGTGTGTGTGTGTGTGTGTTGGTACTCACATGCAGACTAGGATGATATGTGAGGACTCCGTTGTCACAAAGTGTGACATATTTCTTCTTCCACTCTTTGTTCAGTGACTTGCCGCTTCTTTTCAGCAACATGCCCTGATACACAAAGACAGAAATACACAGTCGATTCATCATTACCGAATATTAACAGTATTCATTTATTATTGTCTCTCATAAATATTGTGAACAACACAGCATCATGGTCTGAAAAATTGTTTAGAAAATGCTTTATAGAGTGAAAGAAGGTTAAAACTGTCTGTGGTTCATAAAGTATCTCCCAATTTTCACACACACACACACACACACACACACACAAAACACTCAATTATTTTGTACTCAAGTGAACAGAAAGTTTATTTGCATAGTTTGAGGAGAGCGAGGGAAAAAAACACACTGTGAGCTAGCTACACATGCAAATTGGCCTTCGAGTGTTAGCGAGCACATTAGCACTATGACACGAGCACTAACCTTCCTCTCCTACGCACATCAGTGGCGGCTGACTGCCCATTTAAGGGTCCGGCCGCCCACACCTCATTTCAGCCAAATTCATTAGGCAAGAAGGGAATAAAACTGTCCGCTGATTGGCAATTACGCTGCTGCGGCGGCGTGTCACTTCGCTGGACTTGTTAAACATTAATGCGCAGACAGGACGGATAATAATAGATTTCTTGCTCTGGCTGCCACGGAGCCTTCAACAGCAGAGCCGACAAGTTTCTGTCACTCGCTGCCTATTTCTCTTCTTGCTGTTTTTGTCTCAGTCACTCCACAGCCTGAATTTTCATAAAAAAATGCAACAATCCCTAACAGTCACACACTGTTAAGCTGGCCTAATTATGTGGTAATTGGTATCTAAACTCAAACTAAGGGGGGAAAAAATATGTACCGAAAGGAGTGATAGTGAAGTACATTTGAAAATGTAGTTTTCCGAGGCTGAAAACATGTAAATAATAAACTTCATCTTGTCAATGTCAATCTTTAAATTACAGTAGAGATTTTTTTTACTTTTTCACAGCATGTAGCAGAAATTGAAATTTGACTTTTTTAGATGTAATGCAAATTTTTGTCTGAATACTTTCCGTACCCACTGTATATATATATACACACAAGTCAATGGCAGACTTCTCTCTCCTGACGCATGTAAAATAGAAGAAAAGAAAAAGGAAAATTTTGTCACGACTTTCATAACATTAAGACATCAAAATAATATTATAATATATTTGTATATAATTTTAATAATATATTTAACATGACTATAAATATGAATTTCTATTATCAAATTTAGTGATTAAAAGAGGTTTTAACAGCATGGGATGGAATGGGAATAAAATAAAAATTTAATTTGTAAGACCTTTCAGAATATTAAATACTAAAAAAAAAAAATGTTTTTTTTTTAGTGCAACAGTGTATTGGATACTTGAAAGTTACACCTGATTTTTGTGGAAAGCCAATAAAAACATTTTTAAAAAAGACTGAAGAGCACCAAATGACAATAACAACATTTTGTGACACTGCATCTGTCGCTCAGAGACCGTGTAAAACTTTCTAAATAGAAATGTAAATAAAAAATAATAAAAGTGCATTTTATTTTTGATCATGTGCTCTAGTATGATTTTTAAATTGTTTTATTTCATATATGTTGTGGAACCTTTCTGAGATCAGCCTGGCTTCGTGTGACATATATGCTCGTTCTAAGATCAGCTGGGTTTTAGTTAATGAGGCCTGTAACTGTTCTGAGATCAGTCTGGCCCTGGGTGATGGAGATTTACGTGTGGGAGGATGTTCCCTTAGGTCAGACTGCACGTCTGTACACTCTAGACCCAGTATTCAAGACAAGAGAAGAGCGCTTCCTGGGGGAAATAACAACAGGCTCTCCTGCTGAGTGGTAAACACAAGTTGACGAGCTTTTTAATTTCCTAACAAGGGTGTTGCCGCTAGCGGCCCATCTGTCACATAGGGTGAATATCCATTACTTCATTAACTAAGACTGAGATGTGTGAATGTGTGTGTTTGTGTGTGAGGCCCAGGGATATAAAAAAAAGCAAAAATGAAAGGGGGTAAGAAAGAGAAAGAAAGGGATGGACAGATTGAGAGCGAAAAAGAAGATGATCTTTAAATGAGGGTGTATGTGTGGGGTCTCTCCAGGCATGGTGTATTGGGCAGGTAGCTGCCTCAACCTGCTTTGGATCTAGGTATATTAATTTTGCACATCCATCGGGAAGATGACAAGCGATCATTCAGCAGGAGAGGCTAACTGAACGCCACGTCACTTCTCTGATGGGAGTAATCATTCATTATTTAAGGCCTGGGTCGGTGACACCCTGCTTGCCTCTATTTTACCCTCCCCTGGTTGACAACCTGCAAGGTCTTGTAATGTTGCAAACAGGGGACATTTCCTACTCACTACAAACCAGTTGCATAAACATAGCTGCTATGTTAAAGGGTTAGTTCACCCAAAAATGAAAATTAGCCCACAAATTACTCACCCTCAAGTCATCCTAGGTGTATATGACTTTCTTCTTTCAGACGAATCCAGTCGGAGTTACATTAAAAATTGTCTCTGATCTTTCAAGCTGTTTAATGCCACTCAGTGGGTGTTGCATGCATCAGTCCAAAAGTAGTCAAATAAAAAGCGCCCATCTATAAAAAAAGTGTCTCACACGGCTCCGGGGGGTGAACAAAGGCCTCCTGTACCGAATCGATGTGTTTTTGTAAGAAAAATATCAATATTCAAAATGTAATAATCACTTTAATGTAGCTTGCACCAACAGTCCTACACGGAAGCAACTCTGGGCGGATGACGTATGAGTTCAGCGCTGCGCATGTGCCGGTGAGTCTAGAGAAAACCAATGTTTGTTAACAGGAGCAAAGGAAGCAAAGTTTCCTTACTTTAGCAAAGGAAAACCAGTCTCCTCTTGGCTTATATCGAAATCCTCTGACATTCTTCTTTACAAATCCTTGTTTTGTACTTCTAATAAGTGACCGGTGTTTTGTTTTGATCTCTCCCCTGTGCTTCCGCGTTCGTCACTTCTGAGAGACGCATACACAAAGCCAACCTCATACGTCATCCACCCAGAGTTGCTTCCGTGTATAACTGTTGGCGCAAGCTACATTAAAGTGATTATTACGTTTTGAATATGGATATTTTTCTCACAAAAACGCATTGATTTGCTACAGGAGGCCTTTGTTCACCTCCCGGAGCCGTGTGAGACATTTTTAATGGATGGGCGCTTTTTATTTAACTTCTTTTGGACTGATGCATGCAACACCCGCTGAGTGGCATTAAACAGCTTGAAAGATCAAAGACTAATTTTAATATAACTCCGACTGGATTCGTCTGAAAGAAGAAAGTCACATACACCTGACTTGAGGGTGAGTAATTTGTGGGCTAATTTTTCATTTTGGGTGAACTAATCCTTTAAGACTGTGTCTTAAGAACTAGTTTGACCAACTAGTAGCTAGCCAAGAGGTAATCAGACCTACGTTTTGGATTCAAATTACACCATTCTCCCTTTTTATAACTGACTTTAAAAAGTTATGACCAGTCTTAATGAAAAAAAAATTAGATGACTAACTTTTTAAGATTAGTCTAAGTCTAACTGCAGTAACTGTGGACTTTAGTGGAATGCCAATAATACAGTGATTAAATCATCCAATAAAGCACAACACTAAAGAGCACGAATAAATAACTAGATGAAGCTTGATAAACTCTGATGTTGGTTTGACAAAGTCTTGTCTGAAATTTTTTAAATAACAAACGTTTGAAGTTGCACCAAAAACTGTCTAACCATGTTGGACTACTTCAGACTGCTAAAAAAACACTCTAGCAGTCCTTCACTATGTTTTAACATGTTGCTAGAAATAGCCTAGTTTTATCTCATTGTTATAGGGATGCACCGATACCACTTTTTCCAGTACTCGCCCGATACGATACTTTTATTTTTGGTACTTGCCGATACCGAGTACCGATATTTTTATTGCATTTGTACATTTTTAAAATATTAGGTACAGAAACCAAAAGGGTATGTATAATGTTAGTTGGTTAACTTCATTTATCAAATAGATAGTCAAACCAAAATTTATTCAGACACCTTCAACATTTCTCACATTATATTCGCTATAGTTTAGAAAATGGTAACTGTAATCACGCGCTTTGCTGTAATAATGCAGGGAACCACTCGTTTAAATCTCCTAACTGTGATATTTTCATAAATAGAAGCCGCGTTTTTTTCATCTGAAACGTGCAACGATTTATATTCCAAAGCCTCTCATATAATGCAGAAACACTCAAGCAAGCAAAACACGCGCAACGCGCACACATATTTGTACTGATGCAGAATGAGAGGGACAAGTACAGTCAAACGCATTTCACACAGGCTGCTAGATTGACTTTCGCCTGAAAGTCGTGTATGCCCAAGGTTGAAAATAAATTATGTTTATAGTGAATGCCCCTATGAATGGTTTTATTTTTACGATTTCATTTTAATCCAAATGATGCGTGTGCTAAGTGAGTGAACATCAAATATCACGCAACAGAATTGCTCTCTCTCTCTCTCTCTCTCTCTCTCTCTCTCTCTCTCCCTACCGTTAAGTGACTTGTGCATTGTTTTACTTACTTGTTTTTGACATATCCGACCGAACTACAAACTTTCCTGTGATGTCTGTGAGAAAGATATATTCACTCGACAAGCTCGCGCATCTGCGCCGCCGTGCACTCAATCCACTCAGCTCGCTCTGCTTATCAGCTCACGCACATCAGCTATACAGGGCGTTAATACTGAATGTTTAACATTATATTCATTGCATACATATACTTCGTAGTAGACATCCTTTACTCCATTCTGCTGTCTGTTGTTCTGTTGTCGGTGTTTCTTTGTCTGAATATGGCACTTATCACATGCTGTGTGGTATCGGCGTTTGGTATCGGGGCATTTTAACGAGTACAGGAGACCAGTATCGGTATCGGTACATCCCTTACATTGTTATCATGTTTTAGCACGCTGCTGGCATGTTTTAACATTTTGCTAGCATGATGTAATATTTAGCTAACATATGGCCTGTTTTGTTACATTTGAACATTTTTTGTTAGCATGTTTTAG